TGATAGAGGGAGCTCATCCACCTCTCCCCAGATTCGAACCTAGCTCTACATGTTGATCATATATCAATCCCCAGCCTTACTATATATCTTCTGAAGACCACCCTCCCAGACACGGGGAGTGGGCAGGATCTAAGGTTATATTCCTTATAGTCAAACCTCCCAGACACGGGGAGTGGGCAGGATCTAAGGTTATATTCCTTATAGTCAAACCTGAAATGATTACAGTAATGCTGAGATCTGTTTGGATCCTCCAAACAGGATGACAGCCTTAATGTGTATTCTCTAGCACAGTGGTTCCCAGCCTGTAGTCCATGGACCATCAGTGGTGCCAAGAACTAAAACATGGTCTGAGGCCTCACCATTACTACACTGTTGCAACGAGAGCGACTGGTCTCACAAAACCTTATAGTACCGAAGCAATGGGGATGTTAGGAGCGGAGAGGGCTGACTACCCATGAAAGGCACAACAAGCCTACTGATGCTGCTTCTCTTCCTCTCCCCTCCTCCTGAGTGGAGCCATTCCATGTGGCACCTGGAAGTTTTTAGGCTTGTTCCTGGGGTTGTTTTGGGTGCCAATTCAGAAATTTGCATTGGATAGACCACATCAGCTCTAGATTATTAAATACTAGCCATCCCCTGCCACGCTGTGGCTCAGTCTGTGTATATGTGTATATATATGTGTTTGCATGTGTATTACATTGCAATGCATGCACAAAACCACATATATATATACATATACATGGGTGTGTGTGTGTGTGTGTGGCTTTGCACACGCGTTGTAATGTAATTTTTGGGTTTTGGCTTTTAAAAGTCTTCTGCTGTGTTTTCAGTGGTTTTTATGAATGATGGTCACTCGTTGGCCTGATAGGTGTATTGAGTCCAAATTTGATGTCGATTCGTCCAGTAGTTTTCGAGTTATGTTAGTCCCACAAATGAACATTATATTTTTATTTATATAGACTAGCCATCCCCTGCCACGCATTGCTGTGGCCCACATGGGGATTCTGTGTGGGAGGTTTCGCCCAATTCTATTGTTGGTTGGGTTCAGAATGCTCTGTGATTGTAGGTGAACTATAAATCCCAGGAACTACAACTCCCAAATGTCAAGATTCTACTTTCCCCAAACTATACCAGTGTTCACATTTGGGCATATTGAGTCTTCATGCCAAGTTTGGTCCAGATCCATCATTGTTTTGAGTCCACAGTGATCTCTAGATGTAGGTGAACTACAACTCCAAACCTCAAGGTCAATGCCCACCAAACTCTTCTAGTGTTTTCTGTTGGTCAGGGGAGTCTTGTGTGCCCAGTTTGGTTCAATTCCATCGTTGGTGGAGTTCAGAATGCTCTTTGATTATAGGCGAACTATAAATCCCAGCAATTACAACTCCCAAATGACAAAATCAATTTTTTGAGTGAAGGACATACATTAGGTTGTTAGGTGTCTTGTGTCCAAATTTGGTGTCAATTCGTCCAGTGGTTTTTGAGTTATGTTAATCCCACAAATGAACATTACATTTGTATTTATATAGATGGTTCTCTGTGGGCGAGCAGATGGCGACTATTGGATGGCATATTTCTGTATCAGAAACTAGAGCTGATGTGGTCTATCCAATGCAGTTTTCTGAATCAGCACCCCAAATAACCAAACGAAATCTAAAGTCGACCAAAAACTGATTCATAACTCTTTTGGTACTAATGTTGGAGAGTGATTCCTGGTCAAAAAAAGATTGTTAACCACTGCTCTAGCAGATGATTCAAACACATATGTTACATTGGGGCACTATGTTAGCATGCAAATAACTGCAGAATCACTTGCACTTTCTCAGGTTTTCTAAGTGCAGTTCTTGGGGAAGTCAACATTTCCTTCAGCCCTCCCCCTCACTTTTGACTGACTGGGTGCAGTTAACTGCCTATTGTGCATTGGGGAAGCTCAAGGCCATGGCGCCCATTGCACAACTGGCATGCGGGTGTCTAGTGTCTACAATCCTGGTCATAAATACTTGAAAGGATCTCTGCTGGAACATAATAGCCCCAAGTATTACACCCCTGTGCTATAAAATCATTAGGTTGAAGAGGACCTCAAAGGTTGAACGGTGCTGGAAATCCGTGGGCACGGTATCCTTTGAAAGGCAGTCCTCCTGTTGCTGCTTAAGTATTTGAGTGAAAGACTGTCTGTTCCACTGCCAAATGATTTCCCCCCTTCCTAATAGATATTAAAAAACAAAAAACTGTCTTCTAGGTCTTTTGTTTGAGCCCTAACCAACAGAACAACAGCAAACCAATTTGCTCATCGACTTATGTGACAGCCTTTCAAATATGTGAAGATGGCTATCACGTCACCTCTTAATTATCTTTTCTCCAGGCTAAACATGCTCAACTTGAGAATGATCAGTGTTTCTTTTTTCTCTCTCCCACTCACACCTGAGAAAGGGACGCAGGCCAAGTGGCATATAGGGCATGAAAACTGGCGGGAATTCCAGCGGCGTGATTAATAGTCGGCCTTTTGAAACAAGCAGGCATCATGAAAAATAAAAGGCAGACACCATTTCTTCATCTGCATCACATCATTTTGTGTGGCTGGCATGATTTACTTACTGAGACTAACACAATCCAAAGTGCATTGTCCGATTGAGAGGTAAAAGATTTGCAGCAGTGAATCACCTTCAAACCAGTCATGAATTACACCAGGGGTCCTCAAACTAAGGCCCGGGGGCCAGATATGGCCCTCCGAGGTCATTTACCCGGCCCTCGCTCAGGGTCAACCTAAGTCTGAAATGATTTGAAAGCACACAACAACAACAACAATCCGATCTCATCAGCCAAAAGCAGGCCCACACTTCCCATTGAAATACTAATAAGTTTATATTTGTATTCATCTTTTATATATTATTTATATTCATCTTTTTTCAAATTATAATCTGGCCCTCCAACAGTTTGAGGGACGGTGACCTGGCCCTCTGTTTGAAAAGTTTGAGGACCCCTGAATTACACTATGTAACGAAATTTGAAAAAAGTTCTGTTCCTGGCTCGAAAGTGTTATTTCCTTTTTAATTGTTTATTTTGAAAGTAGTTGTTATACTCCATAAACTTCGTTTTTTGGCTGAGGGTAGTACTACAAGGGTTGAATGAAAAGTAATGCCTCCACCTTCGTTGCTTGGGTTTGGATGGGAATATTTTAATAAACCAAATGCAGAAATAATCCTTAGAATGTGCTCTTTAACTACCACTATTCACTTTTCCACATAATCACCAAACAATTGGATACATTTCTGCCAACGATGAACAAGTTTTCTGAAGCCGTCACAGAAGAAGTCGACACTCTGCGCTTTGATTTCAGGCGTCAGCATCCTGGGTACCCATTGTGCACAGATCTTCCAATAGCCAAGCAAAGCAATAATGTGATCCACACATTCTTGTTAAATGCCGATTATGCTTGAAATTTCTCTGAGTGATACGATTGTCCTGAATCAATCTGTCAAACTTTTGCACATTATCTTATTTGGCTATGTGGAAGGGCCCTTATTTAACATGGTCTAGGAGCCCTTATGTGGAAATAACATTACTTTTGAAGACATCCTTTCATAGTAAAAACCAGAGCTGTGATACACTAGATTCTGTCTTTTTAAAAGGGTAGTTATGAGGACTGAATGAAAAATAATGCCTCCACCTTCGTTACTTGGGTTTGGAAGGGAATATTTTAATAAATCAAGCACAGAAATAATCCTTAGAATGTGCTCCTTAACTACCACTATTCACGTTCCCACACAATCACCAGACAGTTGGTTATATTCAGTTACATTTCTGCCAACGATGAACAAGTTTTCTGAAGCCGTCACGGAAGAAGTCGACACTCTGTTTCCGCAACCAGCGTCTCACAGTTCTCTCATCCTGGGTACCCATCATGCACAGATCTTTCGATAGCCAAGCAAAGCAATAATGTGACCCACACGTTCTTGTGAAATGCCAATTATACTTGAAATCTCTCTCTGAGTGATGTGACGATCTTTCTGAATCAATCTGTTAACCTTTTGCTTGTGAAACTCGGTGGTTGTTGTCACAACAAACTTGGTGGTTGTTGTCTGGGACTCATCTTGTTCTGTTTCTATTATTATTATTATTATTATTATTATTATTATTATTATTATTATTATTATTATTATCTTCCTGAATCAATCTGTTAACCTTTTGCTTGTGAAACTCGGTGGTTGCTGTCACAGGACGTCCAACTCTTTGTTTGTCACGCAAGTCAGATGTTCCCACCTCAACATCTTTAAACTTACTCACCCAATGATGCACAGTACTCACATCAACACAATCACCATAAACAGCTTGCATTCTCTGATGAATCTCCTTTGGGGTGACACCTTCTGCTGTCAAGAATTCAATGACTGCACGTTGCTTAAGTCGCATTGACCGACCATCTGCGCAGGATTCTATACTTTGCACTTTAACAACACAACTGTTCAATGCTAAGGCTTCCCCGCCAAACTGGAACTGTAGAGGAGAGTCTACTGAACAAGCCAGTACTTGCCGCATACCACTACTTCCATCTGTTGAGGAGTTATGAAGGTGGAGGCATTACTCATTCTAGGTGGAGGCAATTACATCATTTGTAATTTTCCTTAATGAAAATATGCCTTTTAAAGCTTTCAATGTGCAGACTGCAATAATTTGCATATTTTTATGATAGAACCAATTAGGAAAGCCAGGAACAAAAATCGTGTTATATAGTGTTATCCTTATTTACCTTTATAAAGTGCTACATTAGAAGCTGTGAGCATTGATCTTCAGATGACAAAAGGCCCAGTCAGCAAAGCAAAAGGCAGGGAATACGGGAGATATAGTCCAAAATATTTGCATTTTTCATATAAGGCTGCACACGACTGCTGGCTTAAAGTTGAAAGGATTGTCGGCAAAAAGTTTTGCCACTTGAAGTCTCTGTTCCCATTTCTAGACTTCTTTCTGTTGCCTGAACAAGTACTTCAGGTTTCTTTTTGTAGTCACTTTCCTCATCCCCTTTATTTATATCTTCCCTCCCCATGAAAGGACTGTGGTGCTGTGGTTAAAAAAAGATCAAATTCCTTTGTAGTAAAAACATTGGAAGACATTCAATGTCCAGAGTCTGAAATCATCACCATTTTTAAGCCGTTTCCAAGCGCTTGTTGTTTTAAATGCCAGTCACAGATAGGTAGAAATTCACCTCTTCTGTCTCTGAAAATACCAAAGAAGCCACTGGACAACAAAAGGCCAAGCCAGCAAGAAACACCAGGTAGGAGGAGACAGGTGAATAGGCCATCTTGGTGGGTCCTGTAGGACAAGAGAAAGTGGTATAATACGAGTCAAGACCTGATTAAAGAAAAACACACACACACACACACCCCACTCCCCGTTGCCGGAGTCAAACACATGCCGGAAATGGAAAAGATGGGAAAAGCCTTGTCCTCTGTTTACGTATTGTCTGTCCTTGTTTAGCACAACTGGTAAATCACCAGAAATTATAAGATCTATCAATCCAAAGGTTGCAAGTTTGAAGCTCCGGGTTGGTGTGAGCTGCTGACAGTCAGCCTAACTCATTGTTTACCTAAGCAATTGAAAACAGCTTTAGTTGTAATTAGAGAAATTAGGTATTGCTAAAAGTGGGGGAAGTGTTTTACAATGCGATAAAGAAAGAAGATTAGAAAATGCTGGGTGACCAAAAGGAAGGAGGAAGTCCTGACAGCTCTCTGTCATAGAGGATGGAGCAACAGCACCCCCTGGACTTGAGCCCAACCTTCCATGGCACCAAAAACAGCTGGACATTGAGTCGAAATAAACCACGTCCTTCTGTTCTGTTTGTGTATTGTCTATACAAAGCAGCATTGAATGTTTGCTGTGTATATGTACTGGGATCCCTTCGAGGTGAGAAGGGCGGAATAAAAATAAAGTGTTGTCATTGTTGTTGCTGTTATTATAACGGCACTGAAAGTTTGCTGTATATGTGTTTTATTTATTTATTTATTTATTTGCGACATTTATATGCCGCCCTTCTCACTCAGAGCAGCTTATGATATATATATATATATACACACACACACATACACACACACACATATACACACATACAAACATACATACACACACACACTATATATATTATATTATTAGCATAGTATAAGATCAGTATTAAATATTACTATATTGTACTATACCATTATATTGTAATATTATTAGTAATATTACATGTAATATGCATATATAATTATAATATATTATTATTAGTAGTAGTATTATATTGCATTACATTATATTATTATAAATATTATATGTATATAAATATATTATATTATTTTACATTATTAGCATAGCACAGGAGACAAGGTGGAACTGTCTTCTCCCCCACCCCCCTTCACTCTGGCCCAGAGCAGCAGTTGGTGCTGTGGGGAGGGGTCCCCAACTGATGACATATGCAGGAGACAAGATGGAACTGTCTCCTGGCCCCCTCACTTCATAATAATCTTAAAATTATTAATAATCTTATATTTATAATCTTTTATAACCTGCCCTGAGTCCCCTCGTGGAGATAGAACGGAATATAAATAAAGTATATTATTATTATTATCATCATTATACAATCCAGTTCAAAGGAGATAATGTGGATTATCTGCTTTGATAATCTGGATTATATGGCAAAGTAGAAGGGGGCTAGGTTGGAATGGATCAACTATAGAAATATACTAAATAAATAAATTCACTTTTCTTAATGGGGCACTGGCCACAAGCCGGAGCCCCCAGTGGCGCAGTGGGTTAAACACCTGAGCCGGCAGGACTGAAGACTGACAGGTCGCAGGTTTGAATCCGGGGAGAGGCGGATGAGCTCCCTCTGTCAGCTCCAGCTCCTTATCCAGGTGTCCCCTGGGCAACATCCTTGCAGACGGCCAATTCTCTCACACCAGAAGCGACTTGCAGTTTCTCAAGTCACTCCTGACACAATAAAAAACAAAAACAAAACAAAAAACCCCACAAGCCAAGGTTGGTACCGGGTGACAAACAAGATTTACCCAGAAGCAAGCTTTTCTTTTTTATTAACTTCTCATTTGTTTTTAAATTAGGCCCTATTCCTAAAAAGGGCTTTAAAGAATAAATTTTGAACCACAACTTCCAGAGCCCTTGATACATCAATGCCTCTGGTTTCCAAGTTTGCTCTTACTGCAAAATGCCATTTTGATTTTTGCAACCAAGTCTATTTGGAGCACTAGCCACAGTAAAATACCATACCTTTCCATCATGTGTTGTGGTTGGCAAGCAAGGATTCACCATTGGTGTGCGGCCCTGAAAAATAGAAAAAGCATCATCAAAATCTCTACCTCTACTTTATCCTTTATCTGCACAGGGGGAAAGAGAAGGAGAGACAGGCAGGGAAGAAGCCAGACGACCAAGTATTTAAACACTTTAAAATTTAATGTATTTACTCTAATACAGACACACACCCTTTTAAAAACTGAAAACCTTGATACAATATGAGGAACTGTATCAAGGGGTCGCAGCATTAGGAAGGTTGAGAAACACTGCCTTACATCCTTGCTCAGGAGTGAGCAAACTGTGGTTGCTGAAATGCTGGCTTGCAACTGCCTGAGAGTTGTCCAGTTTGGTCAACAGTGAGGTTTTTAGTCCAGCAACGCATGGAGAACCAAAGGCAGCTCCAAGCAGCTCAGGGTGCATAGAGCATCCATGAAAGCAAAACCCCTTTGGAAGTGTCATGTCAGCCATGTCAAACTCTTTCCAGGACTGAAGTCAAAGGAAGCGAGTTTATCTAGTTTGCAGCACAAGCGATGTTCTGCGTGACAACTGGCTGTTTCCTTTTGGCATCATTTCTCCCCTCCAGGAGTACTTTTGCAGCATTAACTTCATTCCTTCCCCAACCCCCTCACTTAAACATATGCCTGGAAAACTGGGAAATAAAAGAAAAGTGGGCAGCTTGCTGGGTGAGGGGGAGAGAGGAAGCCATTGGCTTTCAGTTAGCTGATTACTATGCTTGCAAAGACACCAGCAGGAGGCAGGCCCATTCCCAATTAGCAATAAATGCAGCGAATCCTGCTTTTAAGGTTTGCCTATACCATACTATGTCCTCTGATCATATGCATGTTGTTCCTACGTGGCCGTATACTTACTTAGGCAATCCCTCGTTGGCCGAGTAGAATAGCCTTCCAGGATCAGTATTCTGGTGGGTCCGTAGGTGACTGTGGAGCCCTATTCTTTATCTGCATTTTGTCCCGCAGTGAGGTTTCCAGGTGGAAGGCGGTCTCGGTCGGGGTTGGCTTGACACTCCTTCCTCTTGGCACGTTTCTCTCTTTCACCCTCCATTTGTGCCTCTTCAAATTCTACAGCACTGCTGGTCACAGCTGACCTCCAGCTGGAGCTGGAGGCTTCCCAGTTCTCAGTGTCTATGCCAGAGTTTTTAAGGTTGGCTTTGAGCCCATCTTTAAATCTCTTTTCCTGTCCACCTTGAATGTTTGCCATATATGTATTGTTAATTGCATAATGGCATGGAATGTTTACCATATATGTATTCTATAATCTGCCCTGGGTCCCTCTCGTAGCGGAATATCAATAAAGCATATTATCATCATCATCATCATCATCATCATCATCATGCCATATAATCCAGATTATCAAACCAGATATAAACTCTTATAAACTGCTTATAAGGAAATATGTTTGCTTTTCACATTTTGCCTCAACAGGTTTTCTAGTTGGAACAGTGGTTAAAAATGTATGAAATAAAACATCCTCAACTCCAAATCCACAGCATACCTGCAGTGCTGCCCAGGACTCCAGGGAACTGAGTCTCTCCATTACTTCCTTCATGTCCCTCTGCAAAGCCTGAAGGGTGTTTCTCACTTGCCGATCCACCTCCCGCTGGCCCAAGGCCCCCGCTGGGCACCCTGCAATGGCTTCGGGGCTGTGGTTGAGACCTTCCTCACCTGGGACACTTTGCAAGTCTGTAACAGGAGATGGAAGTGAGAAACAAAATAGGCTATATCAGGAAGAGGTCACAAATATGGCTAAAAGGCAGAGAATAAAATCCTAAAAAACTAGTTCTTTTAAAAAATGAGAATTTCTAGGATTTCGAACCTGCCTGGAGCCCTTTCACATTATCCCAAGATTCTGCTTCAATTGTTATGGTTCTGTTATAGGGAACCCTTTGCTAAATTCTCTGCCTAGGGAAGGATATTTATAGTTCTTAGCTAGAGAGCTCTAGGGCTTCCCCATACTACAGACCAAAGTATTCCACACAATATAGACATGGTAGTGAAAGATAAAGAGTGCTATTAATTGTGTAGTGTGAAAGGGCCCCTGGACATGGCTCCCACTCCAATTCTAACAAGAGTATACAGTGTAGATGCACTCTGTGCCAGGCGTCATGTCCCCCTTGGAGTATATGAAGCAAGAAACAGAGAGACGAGGGGATGGTGGAAGGAGAGGCATGTATAGCCTATGGGGGAAGTGCTATCTTCTCAAATGGGTTACCAATTAACCTCCCTCAAGGCCAAGAGCCCGAGCAGATGAGAACATTCCTCTTATCATGGGATGGAGGGAGGAACGTAGGAGGGAGGAATCAAATAGTTGTGTTAGTCAAAGCATAGCTCAAAGCCCAGCTAGCCCAGGAGTAAGGTGAGGACTGGAACCATGCCATCTACTTCCAACAATTAAGTTTTGAGTCATAAATTTTGAACCAAGTTTTGGCCCAGTGATCTGGAAGAAATTCAGAAACAGAGGGATTCATCATCTTAATTTTTCCATCCCTCAAAGAAAGTCCAAAAATTCAGGCAGCTATGATCATATCTGTGTGTGCTTTATCAATTACTGATTTGTAGCGCATGATCTAGTGCAATCCTGTTTCAACTCCTAGTTCTGTAGTTCGGAGGCAGCAGAATTTTACTACATCAGACTCTAGGATGGCGATTAATCACATTTTTGAGGCCCCCTTACATACAATAGAATTAGCACAAGAAAGCATAAGCAAGCTAGACTTTCTGATGTGTTAGTTTGGCAATTTCTTTACATGACAGACCATGCAAAACTAATTCCAGTCCCAATACACCAGGACTGTGGCGCAGCTGGCTGGGATCAGCTGCATTAAGATCACTACTGACAAAAAGATCATGAGTTTGAAACCAGCCTGGGTCGGAGTGATCTTCCGACCAATTTGTGTAGCTTGCTGTCGACCTTTACAGCCCAAAACACAGTTGCATCTGTCAAGTAGAAAATTTAGGTACCACTTATGCGGGGAGGTTAATTTACGACGCCATAAAAATCTCCAGCAAGTATGCAAAGAATGAGGAAGTACATCATCAATGTCATAAATGAATGGTGAAGCGACAGCACCCCTGGTGGCCAAAATACCCTCATAAAAAAGCTGGAATGTTAAATAGCCTCTGTCTGTCTGTCTATATATGTTGTGTGCCTATGGCATTGAATGTTTGCCATGTATATGTACATTGTAATCCTCCCTGAGTCCCCTGAGGGGTGAGAAAGGCAGAATATAAATACTGCAAATAAAATACTGTAAATAAAGTGACCTTGTCCAAAACATGATATGGTACCATGTAGTTAAGGACTCTTTCCACAACACAAGATATTGGAATTTCTTTTGGGGACTACTTATTTATTTATTTATTTATTTACCTCACTTATATCCCACCCATATCAGCCCGCAGGCGACTCAGGGCGGTCTACATATTGGCACAATTCGATGCCATCAATACAATACAACAGCAAAAACAATTAAGTGCATTTAGACAAAAAAGACAGTGCAATAACAATTTAAAAAGAGCAATATCCTCTCATTCCAAACCTCATCCGTTTCATCGTCTTGGCCGTTCCTGGGTCATTCTCCATCTCAAGCTTGACTATCTATTCCAGGGTTCCGAATGCTTGCTTGAAGAGCCAGGTTTTTACTCTCTTCTGAAAAATCAGGAGGGAGGGGGCTGATCTAATATCTCTAGGCAGGGAGTTCTACAGCCGAGGGTCCACCACAGAGAAGGCCCTGTCCCTCATCTTACTTCTTCCAAAATTTTCCAGCCAGAATAGCTCTGATCCCCTGTCCAGATACAATACATTGCCTTCTCACCTAGTGTTTTTAAATCTTTTAATCCTTGCTATCGGCCCTGGCCACTGTGATTTATTTTCTGTGTTTAAATTATTGTGATTTTACATGGTTTATGTTTATTTATATTGGTTCTTGTATTGATTATTATTTTTATATTATTATTATTATTTTACTGTTGTTATATGTTGTTTATTTGCATTGCTGTATTGTTGGGCTTGGCCTCATGTAAGCCACCCTGAGTCCCCTTGGATATAAATAAAGATTATTATTATTATTATTATTATTATTATTATTATTATTAAAGACACTCAACAGCAATGCAGATGTTGAACTCAGTTAATCTGTCAATCCTGAAGACCATTCTGTGGAAGGAATCTAGTGGAAAAGTTTGCAGGAATGCTTTAATACCCCTCACGATGCTGACCTATAAATCCCTAAACGACTCTGGCCCAGTTTACCTGTCAGAACAGATTCTCCCCTATGAACCATCAAGGTTGTTAAGATCTTCTGGAGGGGCCCTGCTCTCGGTCCCACCACTTTCGCAATTGCGTCTGGTGGGGACGAGGGACAGGGCCTTCTCAGTGGTGGCCCCTTGGCTCTGGAACTCTCTCTCGATGGAGATTAGATCTGCCCCTTTCCTCCTGACTTTCAGAAAGCTGGTAAAATCGGGTTATAAAAGCTATAAATAAATAAATAAATACTTCTATGTTGTATTTAACCTTTCCTGCCTGCTTTTCAAACCTCCGGGATTGATTCTGCCATGGAGGCAATTGCAGAGTCCAGTTTTCTTAAGAAATCTGTCCCTTTTGTTTTCTAGCATTTTTTTCTACCAAACCTGGGCATCTTGTTCCATTCAGTTAATTATATTGAGGCTTGTTTACACTTGCAAATGAAAAAAGGGCTTCCCATTGCCAATAGCATATGCCACAGCAGCTGAGGGCCTGCTCCAGACATGTTTTTCACAAGTTATCTCATATTTCAGGGGCAAAATTTGAGCTCCACACCTGAGGTACAAACTTGGCAAAGTTCTCCATCTCTGGTTGATACTGGTTCATGCTCCGAAGGCTTATGCTCACTTTTCTCTTCAACTCTCTGAGAATTGTTCAGGGGGAGGCTTGGCTCAGCTGATAACCTCTTTGCCTTGAAGGGGGAAAAAGAAAAGATTTTTGAGTGAGACATGCCTATAGTTTAGTTTTTATTTGCTACATAAAGCCAGAAAACATGATTGAAATGGAACAAGGAGTGGAAGGTGAGAACGTTGCTAGCACATTGAGATTACACTATGTAACACAATTTTTGTTCCTGCTTTATAAAAAGTCATTTCCTAATGTATTCTACTATAAAACATGGAAAAGGTGCATTAAATTGCAAAATCTTTGTTTTTGCAAGACATCCTGCAGCATACTTTGCTATAGTTTTTCAATGAATATCTCATATAATCTCAACCAATTCAACACAGTTTGTGACAGTCACAAAAACAAAGAAAAAGAGAAAGAAATATAGGTGTATAGATAGATAGGAGAAGAAACAGAGAAAGAAATATAGGTATATAGATAGATAGGAGAAGAGGCAGAATGGAAAGGAGGGGACGAGAATGTATGAGGAAGAAAGAAGAGAAGGAAATAAGCCACACCGAAGAAGTAGTCAAAAGATTTTACTATTTTTATTTTCGCAACATTTTTTTTTCCTTTTTTTCTTCTTTTCTTCTTTTCCCCTTTCTTCTTTCGTCCAACCCACACACACACACACAAATGGTTATATAACATATATGCACTCACTTTCCTTAAATTTCTATATCTTCTTTTTTTGCACCCAATTTTTTAATTTTATATACAATTTTAATAGTACACTTTAATTACGATAAAGATTTTTTTTTTTTAAAAAAAAACAAAGTTTCTAGAGTATAACAACTAATTTCAAAGTCAGTACTTCACAAAAAAACAGGAAGCTACACTTCCAAACTAGTAACAGAAAACATTTCATTTTTTTTGGTCCCTAGTTTAATACTTCTATCTAAAGCAGTGGTTCCCAACCTTTTTTTGACCAGGGACCACTTTGACCAGGGACTACTCTCCAATATTAGTACCAAAAGGGTTACGAATCAGTTTTTGATCAACTTTAGATTTGTTTTGGTTATTTGGGGTACCGATTCATAAAATTGCATTGGATAGACCACATCGGCTCTGGTTTCTGATACAGAACATATACCATCCAGTAGTTGCCATCTGCTCACCCACAGAAAACCATATTTAATTATCTAGAGCTGATGTGGTAGTAGCAATCTTTCATGGGTAGTCAGCCTCTCCCCTCCTGACATCCCTATTTCCTCGGCATTATACAGTTTTGCAAGACCAGTCGCTCTCATTGCAATGTGGTTTTGAGGCAACAGTGTAGTAATGGTGAGGCCACATACAATATTTTCGTTCTTGGGGACCACTGGTGGTCCATGGACCACAGGTTGGGAACCACTGTGTGAAACTCAAGGCTCATGGGACAAATCCAGCCCACTATATGATTTTATGTGGCCCTCCAGATGCTGGACTACAACTCCCACATTCCTCATCATTAGACATGACTAGAGCTAATGGGAGTTGTGATACAGCAACATCTGGAAGGCTGCAGCTTGTTTAGTTTATTTAGGAGAATGGGGCTTGAATTTAGATACAAGCTTGTGGATAGGATGTTTGACTTTAAAATGTCTTTTCACTGTTTCCCCAACCTCAGAGCCACAAGGACTGTTGAGTTGCAGTTCCCATTATCCCCAGTCCACATAGCGGATAATAAAAAGTGATGTGAGTTGTCATTTAATAACATGGGGACCCAAATTAGGTAAAAAAAATAAAGAGTATCAACACTCATGTAAAAAAATAAAGCTGGCCCTCTGTATCTATGGATTTCTCAATCCTTGGATTCAATGGCCTTTTGAAGGCAACCATAAGCTTGACGTGGCCCTTGATGAAAATGAGTTAGTATTGATCAACCTGTTAGAGCAGTGTTTCTCAACCTGGGGGTCGGGACTCCTGGAGGGGTCATGAGGACGTGTCAGAGGGGTCGCCAAAGACCATCAGAAAACACAGTATTTTCTGTTGGTCATGAAGGTTCAGTGTGGGGAGTTTGGCTCAATTCAAGCATTCAATCAGAATGCTCTTTGATTGTAGGCCAACTATAAATCCCAGCAACTACAATTCCCAAATGTCAAGGTCTATTTTCCCGAAACTCCATCAGTGTTCACATTTGGGCATATTGAGAATTCATGCCAAGTTTGGCCCAGATCCATCATTGTTTGAGTTCACAGTGCTCTCTGGATGTAGATGAACTACAACTCCAAAACTCAAGGTCAATGCCCACCAAACCCTTCCAGTATTTTCTGTTGGTCATGGGCGTTCTGTGTGCCAAGTTTGACTCAATTCCATTGCTGGTAGAATTCAGAATGCTCTTTGATTGTAGGTGGACTATAAATCCCAGCAACTACAACTCCCAAATGGCAAAATCAGTCCCTCCTCAAACCCATCAGTATTAAAATTTGGGTGTATTGGATATTTGTGCCAAATTTGGTCCAGTGAATGAAAATACATCCTTCATACCAGATATTTACATTACGATTCATAACAGCAGCAAAATGACAGTTATGAATTAGCCACAAAAATAATTTTATGGTTGGGGGGGGGTCACCATAACATGAGGAAGTGTATTAAGGGGTCGTGGCGTTAGGAAGGTTGAGAACCACTGTGTTAGGGCAAAGTGCAGCTCCAATTAGCAATAGCCATTGCCAGTATAACTAATGGAAGAAGTTGCTAAGAGTTGTGATCCATCAACACTTGGAAGGCCATACTTCACCCAATCTGTGCTAGCAAATCAACTATTCTTCCTTTCATAAAACTATAAATCCCAAGGTTCTAGGGGAAAATGGTATGTCTGAATCCCGCAGATTGCAAATATATAACATGTTGGAGATAAATGTAAGACCTCAGTTGCCAAGGCCTGCTCTTGTTTTCTGTCAGGATAGACCAAAATATCCTAGTTCTCCTTTCTGCATTTAGAAAGCATGCTGAAAGTTGAATATTAATATGCTTCCTGTTATTATATTTTAAGACTAAAGGAAAGTATTTTTTCTTCTTCTTGCTGTTTGCAATTTTTTAATCATGGGATTTTTAAAGTATGGTAAAATATGGTTACCAAAAAGAAAGAAAGAAAGAAAGAAAGAAAGAAAGAAAGAAAGAAAGAAAGAAAGAGAGAGAGAGAGAGAAAAGAGAAAAAATAAAGGAAAAAGGAAAGGGAAATATATTGTATGTATATTGGCTAGGTATTTCCATTAATGTCAGTTGAATATGTTTCCAACAACATCTTTGCTCAAAATGGATGTCCATAAAATATATGTTAATGCACAATTCATAGAATCATAGAATCAAAGAGTTGGAAGAGACCTCATGGGCCATCCAGTCCAACCCCCCTGCCAAGAAGCAGGAATATTGCATTCAAATCACCCCTGACAGATGGCCATCCAGCCTCTGTTTAAAAGCTTCCAAAGAAGGAGCCTCCACCACACTCCGGGGCAGAGAGTTCCACTGCTGAACGGCTCTAACAGTCAGGAAGTTCTTCCTCATGTTCAGATGGAATCTCCTCTCTTGTAGTTTGAATTAAAGAATAACATCTTCTGACCATTGAATAGTGGGTGTTAAAGATAATCACACTAGCCCTGGAGTATGTCTTTTCAAAAAGGATCCAAGAACATTGGTTCTCTATTAAATTCTACATCAAAGAAATGTATTTTAAAAGAGCATGTGCCTCTAGCAATGACAAGGATTTTGATAAGATAAAATACGTTGCAACATATCCAACAAAAAACAGGTAATTTTTAAACACACCTATATAATAGATGTACTACAAGAAAGCATTATCTGAATTATATTGTCAATAATTGACTGAAGTAGACAGTGTCTCTCAGAAAAGGGGGGACAGTTTTGAATATGTCTGCAACATCCATTTTTGTTGGGCACTGCCCTATATTCTAGGATCTGATCCCAGATTATCTGCTTTCAACTGGATTATATGAGTCTATACTTCGGGTCCAATCAATCTTCGACATCGCATCTCCTTCTATGAACCAGCATGTGCTCTGAGGTCTCTGAGGCCCTCCTCTCGGTCCCACCACCGTCCCAAGTATGGCTGGTGGGAACGAGAGAGAGGGCCTTTTCAGTGGTGGCCCCCTGGCTCTGGAATGCCCTCCATAGAGGGATTAGGTTAGCCTCCACTCTCCAAGTCTAGTCTAAAAACTTTGGGGTTTTTTTCTTTCTCTCTAATCACCTAGTTATGAGGATTGAATGAAAAGTAATGCCTCCACCTTTGTTACTTGGGTTTGGAAGGGAATATTTTAATAAATCAAGCACATAAATAATCCTTAGAATGTGCTCTTTGACTACCGCTATTCACTTTTCCACACAATCACCAGACAATTGGATACATTTCTGCCAACGATGAACAAGTTTTCTGAAGCCATCATGGAAGAAGTTGACACTTATGTTTCCGCAACCAGCGTCTCACAGTTTTCTCATCCTGGGTACCCATCATGCACAGATCTTCCAATAGCCAAGCAAAGCAATAATGTGACCCACACATTCTTCTGAAATGCCGATTATACTTGAAATCTCTCTCTGAGTGATACGACGATCTTTCTGAATCAATCTGTTAACCTTTTGCTTGTGAAACTTGGTGGTTGTTGTCACAGGACGTCCAACTCTTTGTTTGTCACGCAAGACAGATGTTCCCACATCAACATCTTTAAACTTACTCACTCAACGACACACAGTACTCACATCAACACAATCACCATAAACAGCTTGCATTGTCTGATGAATCTCCTTTGGGGTGACACCTTCAATGACTGCATGTTGCTTAAGTTGCACTGACCAACCGTCTGCGCAGGGTTCCATACTTCGCATTTTAACAACACAACCGTTCAATGCTAAGGCTTCCCACCAAAATGGAACTGTAGAGGAAAGTCTACTGAACAAGCCAGTACCTGCCACATACCAATACTGCCATCTGTTGAGAAGTTATGAAGGTGGAGGCATTACTTTTCATTCAACCCTCGTACATCACGCAAAAGTTAACTTCAGCACAATCTGCCTAAACTACAATCATACCTTTATAATGAAGGTTTAGTTATTACTCACTAAGGGCCCTTCCACATAGCCATATAACTCAGAATATCAAGGCAGATAATCCACAATAGCTGCTTTGAACTGGATTATCTGAGTCCACACTGCCATATTATCCAGTTCAATGTGCTTTTTATGCAGCTGTGTGGAAGGAGCCTGTGTAGCAAGCTGTCCCACTCTACAATAGCATTTTAAGACTAGGGAACTCTGAAAATTATTTCTGTTAGCCAACGTTTTCAACCCATGTCTCCATCTTATTACCTGATCAGGTTCCACTTGTTCCAGACTATCACAGAACACCTCATTCTCGGCATCAGTGGTCACTTGATTGCTCTTGATAGCATTGTCCATGTATCCTGGCCCTGAAATAGATAAAGGGCTCAGGAATTGAGAACAATGGAAGTACAAACAGGAGAAAGAACATATGTATACAGACACTCAGGTCTTGCCAATCATAAAATACCTAAAAATCTCAACATGGGAATTATCTGATCCCTTCCTAAATATTGATCACAATATTTGCTCATGATTCAAGTGTTGAGCACTAAAGAAGCAAGGAAAGTCCTTTATACTGCTCTAATGCTGATCTATAGGTTTTTAATTTATCTGAAAATGTTGAGCTGGGCATCTTCTACAAAGCTGGCTTGCAAGAACTAGGATGTCAGCTCTTGTAACAGTTGAGATTTAAGAGCAAGTGTATCAGATCTGCAGGAGAGAAGATAGGAGTAAGGATAGGTTTCTTTGACGGCACTTCTCAGGTTAAATGCATCTCATTAAGAACCAAGAATCAATGAACCGGTAACCTTGCTTAGGAGGTAACATCCCAGCATCAAGGACATCCGTCTTATGGAAGAAAGCTTTCCTCCACCACTCAAACGGTCTTCTTCTGCTCTTAACAAGAATGTTAGTAGTTTTGGACTGGGCTCTCTATGGAATCCTAATTGATCATAAGCACCAGCAACAAGAGCAAGTAATGGTGCCCAAAGGAGGCAACACCAAGACAAATGGCAACCCTAAGACAAATTTATCACAAAAATCTCAGGGGCTGAGAGACTTGACCATTGTCACCCACTGTGTTTTCACAGGCCCCTTCCACATAGCTGAATAAAATCCCACATTTTCTGCTTTGAACTGGAATATGTGGCAGTACAGACTCATACAACCCAGTCCAAAGCAGATATTGTGGGATTTTCTGCCTTGATGGAAGAGCCCATAGAATGATCCAAGATTTGAACCCTGGTCTCTGGTGTTGTAGTCTTAACACTCAAACCAATATGACACTTCAATAGGCCCGTTCTACACTGCCATATAATATCCAGATTATTTGATCTGAACTGCATTATATGGCGGTGTAGACTCATATAATCCAGTTCAAAGCAGATAATCTCTATTATTTGCTTCAATAATCTGGATTATATTGCAGTGTAGAAGGGGCCTGAGGCTGGATCTACACTGCCATATTAAATCCAGATTATCTGCTTTGAACTGGATTACATGGCAGTGTAGACTCAAATAATCCAGTTCAAAGCAGACAAAGTGGATTATTGGCTTTGATAATATAGATTATGTGGCAGTGTAGAAGGGGCCTGAGACTGGATCTACACTACCATATTAAATCCAGATTACCTGCTTTGAACTGGATTATATAGCAGTGTAGACTCATATAATCGAGGTCAAAGCAGACAAAGTGGATTATTTGCTTTGATAATATAGATTATGTGGCAGTGTAGAAGGGGCCTGAGGCTGGATCTACACTGCCATATTAAATCCAGATTATCTGCTTTGAATTGGATTATATGGAAGTGTAGACTCATATAATCCAGCTCAAAGCAGAGAAAGTAGATAATCTGCTTTGATAATATATATTATATCACAGTGTAGAAGGGGGCTGAGGCTGGATATACACAGTCTTATATCCCCGGATCTGATTCTAGATTACCTGTTTATCCCAGATAATCTGGGATCACATCCTGGGATATAGGATAGTGTAGATCCAGCCTGTGAAGCATGCTTTTCTTTTCTTCTCCTGCATTGAAACTAGAGGCACTGCTGTTTTAGACATCAAAACGTTTTGCTCTTAGAATAGGTACAAAACCGAAGGTCCTGACCTCAGAGAAGCCCACCTACTGCCTTTCTCAACCAGGCAAGCACCTACCCTTCCTTTACTGGACAAGTAACTCTGCTATGTTTCCACCTTGGAAAGAAGCCAGTGACCTGCTGTGGCAGATTTACCCCCCAAGTGCAAGCAGTGCAGAGTAATGGAGGAAGATTGAAACAGTCAGAGACATCATTGGCAGCCTTCTCCGTGGCCATGTTAGCACTCTCAACCCGTAGGAAACTTTGTCATGGCACTAAAAGGGCGGCACATAGTTTGGGAGCTAGCCGTCTACTCTTTGAGCCAGCTTGGCTGGGGTCCAAGTCAAGCTAGTCTGCCCTTTGCACAAACAGGTGCAAACTATCACCAGAGACATGGATGTGAGAGTCAGCAAAAGGAACAGGATAAGCACACGTCACTCCTGGACTCCTGTTACGTGTGTGAGACAGTGACAGAGAGGTCCCATCTACAATGCCATATAATACACTTTAACTATATTATATGAGTCCAGACTCAAACTGCATTATATGGCAGTGTTGTTCTAGCCAGAGATAGAGGCTGGATCTATGGCTGGATCTACACTTCCCAATACCCCGGATCTGATCTCAGATTATCTGTTTATAATCTAGATTTTATATGACAACTAGCCGTTCCCTGCCATGCGCTGCTGTGGCCCAGTCTGGTGATCTGGATAATAAAGTAATTAGAAAGTATTGGTTTCTAATATATGTAATGTCTTTATGATTGTGGGTAAACAGTACTTCTTGTTTTTTGTCAGTGTTGATGTAGAGATTATCTGGTTTGCCTATTGTTGAAGATGCAACATATAATTGTCCTTCTTTAGGGGTCCCTTTAAAATTGAGGATACTATTTCTGTCATATACATATATGTGTGTGTGAATCATATATCTATCTATATCTATGGCTGGATGGCTCTTTGTCAGGAGGGCTTTGATTATGTTTTCTTGCCCTGGTGAAGGGAGTTGGACTGGATGGTCTTAAGTAAGCATTTCTCAACCTGGGGGTCAGGACCCGGGGGGGGGGGGGGGGGGGGGTCATGAGGGGTTGTCAGAAGGTTCGCCAAAGACCACCAGAAAACAAGTATTTTCTGTTGGTTGTGGGCGTTTGTGTGGGTGGTTTGGCCCAATTCTATCATTGGTGGGGTTCAGAATGCTCTTTGGTTGTAGGTGAACTATAAATCCCGGTAACTACAACTATCAAATGTCAAGGACTTTCCCCCCACACTCCGTCTGTTTTCACATTGGGCATATGGAGTATTTGTGCTAAGTTTGATCCAGATCCATCATTGTTGGAGTCCACCATGCTCTCCGGGAATTGTAGGTGAACTACAACTCCCAAATTCAAGGTCAATGCCCACCAAACCCTTCCAGAATTTTCTGTTGGTTGTGGGAGACCGATGTGCCAAGTTTGGTTCAATTCCATCACTGGTGGAGTTCAGAATGCTCCTTGATTGTAGGATAACTATAAATCCCAAACGACAAAATCATTTTTTTTGAGTGATGGTCACTCCTTGGGTTAGTAGGTGTCTTGTGGCCAAATTTGGCGGCATTTCGTCCAGTGGTTTTTGAGTTATGTTAATCCCACAAACAAACATTACATTTTTATTTATATAGATGTAGAAGAGGTCTGAAACTGAATTATATAAAAATGTAGATACAGGCACAGATGCCAGCCTTGAAGTCCTTCCCTATGGCTGGTGATCAGGCATGCAAACCATCATTTAAAACTCCTTACAATCCTCCCAGATGCATTAGAAACAGCGGTTCACAGTAGTAGAAGAAAACAGCTATGCAAAGCAGCAAATCGGGTTCATCAAAATAGAAGGGTGTTTATCAAAGGTCCCTCCAAATTACAGCGGCCATATAAATGCTCTGCAGTGTCTTGTCTGCAACTATCAATGATCCTGCCAGCAGAAAGGCTTTTGACCTGTTACCTGTAAATATGAAAGATAAGACCTGGTAGGAGTGCCAGATCTCCTTGTTGGGAAGCCAAATCCAAAGTGTTTTGCAAGAGGGCTGTGAATATAAAGATTTTGGAATGAATTGGAAAATGGTAGGAGCCCCTGCTTATTGTACATTACCAGCATTTTCAACCCACATGGTCTATATGGGCAAGGGTTTTTGAGTACTGTTGTTTGAAAGTGATGTTAATGTATATTGTAATATTACAATATAATAGTATGGTACAATATAGTAACATTTAATACTGATATTGTACTATGCTAATAATATATTGTGTGTGTGTGTGTATAGAGAGAGAGTAAGCTGCTCTGAGTCCCCTTCGGGGTGAGAAGGGTGGCATATAAATGGCGCAAATAAATAAATAAATAAATAAATGATAGTTGCAAACTTTACTCTTGGTTTGAAGTCCAAGTCTTTCCCACTCTTCCAAGATCCCTCTTTCTAGACATGGAAACAAGTAGAAGGCCTATCTACACTGTAAAATTAATTCACTTTGACACGACTTGGCCCTTTCTACACAGCTGAATCCAGTATATGGCAGGGTAGTCTAAAATAACCCAGTTCAAATCAGATAATGTGCATTTCTGCTTTGATAACCTGGATTGTCTCTGGCTATGTAGAAGGGGCCTGAAATTGCTACGCCTCAATGCTGTGGCATAATGGGATTTGTAGTTTTACAAGGTCCTTAGCTTTCTCTGCCTCCAAGTGCTGATGCTTCACCAAATTACAACTCCTATGACTCCACAGCATCAAGCAGTTAAAGTGATGTCAATCTGCACTAATTCTATAAAGTAGATCCCTGTTTCCCAAACTCTGACCTTTTTGGGGGGAGGGGGGGCTTCTACACTGCTATATAATCCAGATTATCAAATCAGATATATCTGCTTTGAACTGGGGCCCCTTCTACACTGCCAGTCTGGCAGTGTAGAAGGTGCCTGAGGCTTCTGGGAATTGAAGTCCAAAATACCTGGAGGACTAGAGTTTGGGAATCACTGTTATAGACACTCCCAAGGAAGGATGGCGGGGGAAATTGTTTGAACAAAGAAGTCCAACATAAACTGAATGGCAAATCGCTCCCTTTTTGCTTCTGCTTCTCTCTGCCCACAAAAAAAACTTGAAGGTTTGGAAGCGGGGGTAACTTCTTTGCCAAAATCCCAAACATGTCCAAGCAGGTTCGATCACTCCAAGATGATGAATGCAAATTGCCACCTTCACAATTCCAGGGAGGGACTCAGTACGTCTTTAGATTGGAAACCCATGGTGGAGATGACCTAATACAAGGTCCTTCTGAGATTCCTTTGCCTGGAGGACCAAAGTGCTGTAACTAAACATGTCTAACAGGCTCCATCAGCTTCCATAAACATGTGTTTTACAAGCTGCGTGCAAGAGGTGCTAGAAAGGCAGCAGGATTGTAGGTCAGGGAGCCAAGTTGACTTTCCCACATTGATCTGAAAAGTTAGAACAAGTCGCTTGCAGGCTATCATTCCCAGAATCCAACAGTTGCTGGTGAATTCTAGGAATTGTATCCCAAATGTCCAAGATTTTGACAACAAGCCCCAGTGAAAAAACCTAAACAGTCATTTTTCAGCTGAAACATTTGCCCGATATGCACCCATCCCCATTTCACATTTGCGATCAAGAGTCATACCTGTTTTCTTCCTGAAGAAGGATTCAGGAGGCCTGGGCATGTCATCAATTACTTCATAGAGGGATTCAAAGTAGACAAACATGTCCTTCGACGACTCGTCCAGCGGCACGGTGTCGATGACCTGCCAGAAAGTCCTAGAAGGGATCCCAGGTGGTACAAGACCACCCAGCTCAGCCAAAAAGACATGTGGCCCTCCAGATGTTGTTGGACTATAGCTCCTCTGAGCTCTGATTGGTGGAGCCAACTATGAGGGACGATGGGAGATGCGATCCAACAGCATTGGGAGGCAGTTCCCCAGTGCCCTGCTCCAGTCCAAATCCAGTGAGGAATTTAGCATGGATGCTTCAGCTCTTTTACCCCAAGACTAGAAAACTATGGTCCCTTCCACACAGCTGAATAAAATCCCACATTTTCTGCTTTGAACTGGGCCTTATGGCAGTGTAGACTCAGGTAACCCGGTTCAAAGCAGATATTGTGGGATTTTCTGCCTTGATATTCTGGGTTATATGGCTGTGTGGAAGGGCTCTATGGCCCCTTCCACACTGCCCCTATATCCCATGATCTGATCCCTGATTATCTGTTTAATAATAAATAAAATTTTATAATAATAATAATAATAATAATAAAACTTTATTTATACCGCGCTACCATCTCCCACAGGACTCGGTGCGGCTTACAAGAGGCCGAGTCCAAAATACATCAACAAAACACAACAACAACAACAACACAACAATAAATAACTCATAACAAAGCAAAACAATAACAATAAAATCACGACGCATGTAAAAACCTGTGGCAGGGCCAAATGTAATGATTAAAAATTTTAAAAATGCTGGACACGACCAGGTGAAATGGATGAGTTTGGCGATAGGTGCAGTGTGCAGACAATTCTAAATCTCTCGTAAAGTGCATTTGGGACATATTGCTTGGGATTCCTTATTCTGGGAAGGCACACTGGAACATCCATGTTTTCAAGCTCCAGCGTTGGGGCTTGTCTGATGTCCTTGGGGAGAGAGCTCCAGAGTCGGGGGGCCACCACAGAGAAGGCCCTGTCCCTCATCTCCACCAAACGCGCCTGTGACGCAGGTGGGATTGTTAGCAGGGCCTCTCCAGATGATCGAAGGGATCGTGTGGGTTCATATACAGAAATGCGGTCACGCAGGTAGATGGGTCCCAAACCGTTTAGGGCTTTGTAGGTAAGCACCTGCACCTTGAATTGGGCCCGGAAAATGAACGGCAGCCAATGGAGCTCCTTAAACAGGAGGGTTGACCTCTCCCTGTAAGGAGCACCAGTTAACAACGATTGGTAGGAACGAGGGACAGGCCTTCTCAGTGGTGGCCCCACGACTCTGGAACTCCCTCCCCAAGGACACCAGGCAGGCAGCCAGTGGAGCTCCTTAAACAGGAGGGTTGACCGCTCCCTGTAAGGAGCACCAGTTAACAACCTGGCCGCCGCCCGTTGAACCAACTGAAATTTCCAGGCCGTTTTCAAGGGCAGCCCCATGTAGAGTGCATTACAGTAGTCCAATCTGGAGGTGACTAAGGCATGGACCACCCTGGCCTGATCCGCCTTCAGGAGGTACGGTCGCAGTTGGCGCACGAGTCTCAATTGTGCAAAGGCCCTCCCAGCCACCGCCGACGCCTGAGCTTCAAGCATAAGTGATGAGTCCAGGAGGACACCCAAACTGCGGACCTGTGACTTATTTATACCCTGCCACCATCTCCCCAACAAGGACTCGGGGCGGCTAACATGAGGCCAAGCACAACAATTAGAACAAATCAGAATAAAATACATACTGCAAATAATAACATCAAATGAAATATAAACAAATTAATACAAATTAATGTTTATCCCAGATTATCTGGCAGTGGGGACTCATACAACCCAGTTTAAAGCAGATAATCTGGGATCAGATCACTGTAGGGGCAGTGAGGAAGGGGCCTAAGGGGACAAATTGGGGGCAGGAATTCTCAAGTAGATATATCTAATCTACATCTGCTTGCAAAGTCTTCACATTTTCTAATTTTTTTTCTACCTAGGTAAAGGTAAAGGTTTTCCCCTGACATGAAATCCAGTCGTGTCCGACTCTGGGGTGTGGTGCTCATCTGAAGAGCCGGCATTGTCCATAGACACCTCCAAGGTCATGTGGCTGGCATGACTGCATGGAGCGCCGTTACCTTCCCGCCGGAGCGGTACCTATTGATCTACTCACATTTGCATGTTTTCGAACTGCTATTTTGGCAGAAGCTGGGGCTGACAGCGGAAGCTCACGCCGCTCCCTGGAATCGAACCTGCGACCTTTTGATCAACAAGCTCAGCAGCTCAGCACTTTAACCCACTGCACAACCAGGGGCTCCTATCTAGTTTTTTTTCTACCTAGTAGATTAAAAAACCCAAAATATAACATCTAGACATAGCAAAATTTACCAACATGACTTCAAACTCACGGATGTTGATGTCTTTCCTTTAAAACAGCCCACAGTTACTTCGAGTAATAAACACTCAGTGGATTTTCGATTAATTCAAAATTTCATTTCAATTCCATTCAAAAAGTAAACAATTCCCTCAAATTTCAATTCCCCATTTCCCTCATATACAAACTCCCTCAGGTATAAACCTTCTTGTTGAGAGCTAAATGCACCAATCCACCAATTCAGGCCACTTGATAATCCAGATTATCAAATCAGATAATCCAGATTATCAAATCAGATAATCCAGATTATCAAATCAGATAATCCAGATTATCAAATCAGATAATCCAGATTATCCGCTTTGAACTGGATTATCTTGGGGTCCTTCTACACCGGCATATAGCCCAGATTAACAAAGCAGATAATTCACATTATCTGCTTTGAACTGGATTATATGAGTCTACACTGCCATATAATCCAGTTCAAAGCAGATAATGTGGATTTTATTTGGCAGTGTTGAAGGGGCCTGAGGGCCCTTCTAAACAGCCATATAATCCAGAATATCAAGGCGGATAATCCACAATATCTGCTTTGAACTGGGTTATCTGAGTCAACACTGCCATATAACCCAGTTCAAAGCAGATAATGTGGGGTTTTATACAGCTGTGTGGATGGGGGCTTTGTCTACATTGCCATATAATCCAGTTCAGAACAAATAATCTAGATTTTATATGGTAGTATAGAATGCATCTCCCATATATCAAGCTCTGATGGCTTCTGCTTTACTGGCCATATATTCCATATTAAAAAACATCATAGTATTGTGTCTCATCCATAATGATGCATTTCTGGGCTTGGCCTCATGTAAGCCGCCCCGAGTCCCCTTTGGGGAGATGGTGGCGGGGTATAAATAAAGTTATTATTATTATTATTATTATTATTATTATTATTATTTGGAGCCCCCAGTGGCGCAGTGGGTTAAACCCCTGTGCAGGACTGAAGACCGACAGGTCGCAGGTTCGAATCCGGGGAGAGGTGGATGAGCTCCCTTTATCAGCTCCAGCTCCTCATGTGGGGACATGAGAGAAGCCTCCCACAAGGATGATAAAACATCAAATCATCCGGGCGTCCCCTGGGCAACGTCCTTGCAGACGGCCAATTCTCTCACAACAGGAGCGACTTGCAGTTTCTCAGGTCCTCCTGACACGACAAAAAAAGTATTATTATTATTATTATTACAGGAATGAGCAAATGGCAGCATGCAACTCAAAGCCCACATTTGCAGCTCCTGAAAAAGCAGGACAACTCTTCGCACTTGATATCTTCAACCCATAATTTTTTTAAATAACAATTTTAGAACAATTTTAAATCACAAAACCATTCAAATAAATTTTAAAAACTGGCTGAAAATGTGACAGTTTATTTCCTCCACCCACCAAAGTCTCTCTCAATTCCCAAAATTTTAAAAAATGAACCCAAAATAAGCCAACACAGACCCCTTCCTCACAATCATATAACCCAGAATATCAAGGCAGAAAATCCCACAATGCCTGCACTGAACTGGGTTATCTGAGTCCACACTGCCATATAATCCAGTTCAAAGCAGATAATATGGGATTTTATTCAGCTATATAGAATGGGCCTCAGATAACCCAGTTCAAAGCAGATATTGTGGATTATCTGCCTTGATATTCTGGGTTATATGGCTATGTGGGAGGACCCATAGCAGCCAAAATTATTACGGTATACACATTCCAATGGTGTTGTCTGCCAGAGGGAACAGAGGCAAAAAATGGCCCCCATTTGCAGTAACCCACCCCTGCTATATCGTAATGCCTTCTGCAGTGGTCCCCGCCTGGCTTGCAGTATAGCAACCCATCCAAATAATCCCACAAATAGGGCCTGTAAGAAATGACTACCTTCTGGGCTGCCTTCTTCATCTCTGCAACATAAGCCGCCATCGCTTCCTCTTTGCTCATCTTTCCTAATCTGTTCCATGCATCCCTGCCAAAACACAAAAAGTAACTACTTAATTAAGTATATATATATTTTAAATAAAAATATCCTGACTCAACCAGCAAGACCACTCCTCTTTGACTTCACCATTCTGCTTTCTGTATGGTAGCCAGTTGGTTACTCATAAATGGGTAAACATCATTCTGCATATGCTATGAATTATATATTACTTTATTTTTCCTTCTTTTGACTTTAGAATACTTTGGGGATACATTCCTCCACCACCTCCTCCTCCTCCTCCTCCTCCTCCTCCTTCTTCCTAGGCGATCCCTCGTAGTCCGAGGATGATGGTCCTCCAAGTTCGGTGTCCTTGGGGTGTGTTCGTAGGTGGCTGTGGAGCCCTATTCTTGATCTGCATCTTCTCCCACAGTGAGGGCATTGGTTTCCAGGTGGGAGGCCGTCTCGGTCGGGGTTGGCTTGACGCACCTTCCTCTTGGCACGTTTCTCTCTTTCACCCTCCATTCGTGCCTCTTCAAATTCTGCAGCACTGCTGGTCACAGCTGACCTCCAGCTGGAGTGCTCAAGGGCCAGGGCTTCCCAGTTCTCAGTGTCTATGCCAGAGTCTTTAAGGTTGGCTTTGAGCCCATCTTTAAATCTCTTTTCCTGCCCACCAACATTCCATTTTCCATTCTTAAGTTCGGAGTAGGGCAACTGCTTTGGGAGACAGTGGCTGGTCCAGCGGAGTTGATGGCGAAGGACCATTGCTTCAATGCTGGTGGTCTTTGCTTCTTCCAGCACGCTGATGTTTGTCCGCCTGTCTTCCCAAGAGATTTGCAGGATTTTCCAGAGGCAGCACTGATGGAATCGTTCCAGGAGTTGCATGTAGTGCCTATAGACAGTCCATGTTTCGCAGGCATATAGCAGGGTTGGGAGGACAATAGCTTTATAGACAAGCACCTTGGTATCCCTATGGATGTCCCGGTCCTCAAACACTCGCTGCTTCATTCAGAAAAATGCTGCACTCACAGAGCTCAGGCAGTATTCGCAGAGCTCTCCACCTTTTTGGTGGAGAGGTGGCTGCCAAGGTAGCGGAAATGATCAACATTTTCTAATGTTACACCATTAAGCGGTATTGCTGGCATTGGAGAGGGGTTGGCTGGTGTCTGCTGGAACAGCACTTTGGTTTTCTCGTAGCACATGACACAACCGTGTAAAACAGGGGTCCTTAAACTATGGCCCAAGGGCCAAATACGGCCCTCCAAGGTCATTTACCCGGCCCTTGCTCAGGGTCAACCTAAGTCGGAAACGACTTGAAAGCACACAACAACAACAACAACAACAACAACAACAACAACAATCCTATCTTATCGGCCAAAAGCAGGCCCACACTTCCCATCGAAATAATAGTAAGTTTATATTTGTTAAAATTGTTCTTTATTTTAATTATTTCATAGTTTTTAAGTGTCTTTTGAATTACAAATAAGACATGTGCAGTGTGCATAGGAATTCATTCATTTTTTTTTTCCAAATTATAATCCAGCCCTCCAACAGTTTGAGGGATTGTGACTTGGCCCTCTGTTTAAAAGGTTTGAGGACCCCTGGTGTAAAATAATGGGCTGGAGTCAGACTGAATCATGTGTAGAACACAGCTTCTTAAACCTTTTCCACTCATAATCCCTTCCCACCAAGAAATGTGTACGTGACAGGTATATAGATACCAATATATAAAACTAGCTGTACCCTGCCACGCGTTGCTGTGGCCTATAGTAAAACTTATCAAAGTTGAGGTAGATATCTGGACTATTATGAAAGAGGTACCTACCTATTCCTTCCCCCTTTTCCTCCCCCTTTCTCTCCTTTCTTCCTTCTCTATCTCTTTCTTTCTTTCCTTCTTTCACTACTTGGTTTCATCCTTCTCTCTTTCCTTCATTCCCTCCCCCTTTCTTCCTTTGCCTTTCTTCCCTCCCTGTTTGCTTCCTTCTTTCACTTTTTATTTCCTTTTATTTCACCACCATCATAACAATAACAATAATGCAATGCATTGCCTCTGGGACCTGACACCTCTCCCATTCCCCCAGGGTCTCATAGGAATAATAATAGCATAATAATAATAGAAATAACAACCTTTACCCGCCACGCTTTACTGTGGCCAACCTTCCCTCTTTCTCTCCTTCTTTCCCTCCTTCCTTCCTTCCCTCCCATCTTTCCTTCTCCTCTTCCTTCTCTATCTCTTTCCTTCCTTCCCCCTTTTTCTTTCTCTTCTGGTCTCTTTTCTTCCTTCTCTCTTTCCTTCTTTCCTTCCCTCTCTCTTTCTCTACATCTTCCCCCTTCCTTCTCCCTCTTTCCTTCCTTCTTTCCCTTTCTTCTCTTCTCCTTCCTCCCCCTTTTTCTTTCTCTCTTCTTCTCTTTCTTCCTCTCCCTCTTTCCTTCTTTCCTCCCTCCCTCTTTCTCTACATCTTCCCCCTTCCTTCACTCCCTCTTTCCTTCCTTTCTTCCCTTTTTTCTTTCCTTTTTTCCTTCCTTCCTTCCCTTTTTCTTTCCCTCCCTCTTCCTCCTCATTTCTTCCTTCTCTCCCTCTTTCCTCTCCTCCCCCTTTTTCTTTCTCTTCTGCTGTCTCTCTTTCCTTTCTTCTTTTCCTTTTCTTCCTTTTCTTCTTCTCTTTCTCTAACTTTCCTTCCTTCCCCCTTTTTCTTTCCCTCCCTTTCTCTTTCTTCCTTCTTTCCTTCCTTCCTGTCTTTCCTGGATTTTGACAGGGCAGGAAGGGGCGGGGTGGGGTTTGGAGGTGGCGTGAAGTAAAAGGAGGTAAGATTGCGGCAGGGGAGTGATGGAGCGTGGGGTTGCGTGTGTGTGTTTGGCGGCGGGGGAAGTGGGGTGCGTGTGTGTGTGCGGCGGCGGGGGGAGTGATGGAGCGTGGGGTTGTGTGTGTGCGTGCGGCAGGGGGTGTGTGTGTGCGGGAAGTGGCGCGGGTGCGGCTTGGAGTGGGCATGGCTTCCGCAGAGGGAACGTTGGCCAGAAGGCTGTGTGCGCGCGCCAGGGAACTTGCGGCTGGGCGCCAATGCACATGCTCAGTTGTTTTGCCGTCTTGTGAGTGTGTTGTTGTGTTGTTTTTCATTTTGAGTAGATATGTTTGTACCTTGTGGGTTGTGTTATGGGCATGGGAATTTTGGTTAAGTTTCGTTGGGTTTTTTTTGAGTTTTGTTGTTTTGCCGTTTTGTGAGTGTGTTGTTGTGTTGTTTTTCATTTTGAGTAGATATGTTTGTACCTTGTGGGTTGTGTTACGGGCATGGGAATTTTGGTTAAGTTTCGTTGGGGGTTTTTTGAGTTTTGTTGTTTTGCCGTTTTGTGAGTGTGTTGTTGTGTTGTTTTTCATTTTGAGTAGATATGTTTGTACCTTGTGGGTTGTGTTATGGGCATGGGAATTTTGGTTAAGTTTCGTTGGGGTTTTTTGAGTTTTGCTGTCCCGTTGAACCAACCTAACAGATTTATATATATAGATAGGTGTAAAGATCAAACATTAACAAATCAGCAGTTGCAAGGTTAGCTAAACAGGCTGATTTTTTTTCTTTTGTGGAGTACAGCTAAAGCATTTTCTGCACAATCCACCGCGGGCTCTGCATGTTGTTACTAACCATTTGTGTAGATTTGTGTTAGTAACAGATTTTTTCATTCTTACCTAATAATTTCAGTGGGTCTACAGTACACTCATTTGATTAAATTTGTTGCTGTTGTTGTTGTGTCCCACTGAGTTAAATGGGACTTAGTCCAGCTATAAAAAATGTACTGTAAATCAGCCAAGTGACTCCTGATAAATATCTTGCATTTTCCATGGAAGAGAGCCAGAAATCAACTCCACCACGTCTAAATCCTCAGAGTTACTGCCATGAAAGATAAGAGCGGGAAGAGACTGCATGTTTAAATATCAAAGATGATGGGAGTTATAGTTCAAAGGTCTCTTCTACAATGTCATATAATCCAGATTATCAAATCAGATAATCCAGATTATCTGCTTTGAACTGGATTATATGAGTATACACTACCATTTAATCCAGTTCAAAGCAGATATATTTTGAATTTTATATGGCAGTGTCGAGGAAGTCGGGTTGGGAAGACTACCGCAGGGCTCATAGTTTTTTGTTTTGTTTTGTTTTTAAACAGAACCCTGAATTGAACCTAGAAGCAACCAATGTATATGGAAAAAACACTGTTGATTAAGTTGATGCCCTCCCATACCTATGGGATAAGCAGTTGTACTTTGCAGTAGTATTCCAAGTCTAAGCTCTGACCAAAGGCCATTCCACACTGCCCCTATATCCCAGAATCTGATCCCAGATTATCTGTTTATCCTAGGTCGTATTTATTTATTTACGACATTTATATGCCACCCTTCTCACCCCAAAAGGGGATTCAGAGCAGTTTACAAGATATATATACATACAATATATTATATTATTAGCATAGTACAATATCGGTATTATATATTACTATATTGTACTATACCATTATTATTGTAATATTAATAATATCATATGGCAGTGAGGACTCATATATTCCAGTTTAAAGCAACTAAACTGGGATCAGATCCTGGGATAAGGGCAGTGTGGAAGGGCCCCAAGTCCTCTATATCAAATCTTGTTAAAGACAGTGCTTCATCTGAGGCTGTGAGAAGGTTCCTTTCTTACCATTTATATCTGCCGATAGGATCCCAAAACCCAGGCCTGGAGATCTGGCACGGACCCACGGTCGCTTGCTTATAGAAACTGTAGAAACGCAGCATTTCTTCATAAGATGGTCGGTACGCACCTTTAGGGATGGGAGAAGTGGTCAGAAACATACATAGGAATTTTTTTAATAGTCTAGGTTTCAGAATCACAGTTTTCAAAGCAACTGGTTGCCAATTAGCTTCCAAGCACAATTCAAAGTGCTGGTTTTAACCTATAAATCCCTATACGGTTCCGGCCCAGTTTACCTGTCCGAACGTATTCTCCCCTATGAACCATCAAGGACATTAAGATCTTCCGGAGAGGCCCTGCTCTTGGTCCCACCACCTTCGCAAGCGCATTTGGTGGGAAAGAGACAGGGCCTTCTCTGTGGTGGCCCCTCGGCTATGGAACTCTCTCCCGAGCGAGATTAGATCTGCCCCCTTCCTCTTGTCCTTCAGGAGGCTAGTGAAATCCTGGTTATGGAATGAAGCATTCCCAGAATAATGGCTGAGACTGGTTACAGACCAAAGTGAGTGACCACATATGCGGACTGAGTTGAACATGATTTTACCTTGGCGATTTGGTATATATGTATTTTATCTATTTGTATTTTAATCTTGTATTGTTGTATGATGTTTTAACTTGTATTAGTAGCATTGAATCCTTGCTGTAAGCCGGTCTGAGTCCCTCTACGAAGGTGAGAAGATAGGGATATAAAAGTTTTAAATAAATAATAAATATAAATAAATTATGCATCAAGTATTTAATCTGTTACCAATCAGAGTAGAATTTTGGAGGCAAAAGTGGATTTCAATACACCCAGGTGAGGCGGCCGAAACTGTAGTCCACACTGTAGTTTTGCAAAAAGAATATGAATATATTTTGATTTTAGCATTAGTGACTTTGGCCCCATCTACACTGCCGTATAAAATCCAAATTATCTGTTTTGATCTGGATTATATGGCAATGTAGACTTGTATAATCCAGTTCAAAGTAGATAATGTGGATTATCTGCTTTGATAATCTGGGTTATATGGCAATGTAGAAGGGGCCCCAGTTAACAAAGCCTTTGTCACAGGAGATGCTTTTTACAAAATCTTTTTTTGTCTGCTCATCTCCCCTTTTCCTTCTTGACCTCTGACCAGTTGCACTTTATTTAAGCAGCATTAGCACTATGAATTTGATGAAGGAGGACTGGAAGCAAAGTTTTTTGGTGTTGGAAATGCAGCAGCGTGTTTGCAATAAAAATGAAAAAAGGCTGAGGTAGGAAAGAATGCCGTTGTAATCTAACTGACACTACTGTAACTGTGTTTGCCTGCCTACAAGTTAAGATAACAGCTGCTTTCAATAATAATAATAATAATAATAATAATAATAATCTTCATTTATACCCCGCCACCATCTCCCCAAGGGACTCGGAGCGGCTTACATGAGGCCAAGCCCAACAGCACATCAAAAACAACAAGCAATAATAAAATAACAAGCAATAAACAAAATAAACAATACAATTAATATAACTCATAAGTAGACAATAACACACAAGAGTTTAAAAACCTATGGCTGGGCCAAATGTAATAGTTAAAACTTAAAAAATAAATGCTGGACATGATATCCTTTACTGAGGATGCATCAAAAACAAAACAGAGAGCAAGAGGAAAGCAGATTAGCTTGTCTCACTAACTATTCCTAGCATGATACTTACATAAAAAACAAAGTATAGATCTCAATGTTTCACCACCAAATTGAAAATTATTAAGAAAAATAGAGCCTGGTGCAACAACAACAACAACAACAACAACGAACTTGAGAGACGCTTTCTAATAGTCTCTAAAAGGTAAAGGTAGTCCCCTGACATTAAGTCCAGTCGTGTCCAACTCTGGGGTGTGGTGCTCATCTCCATTTCTAAGCCGAAGAGCCAGCGTTGTCCGTAGACACCTCCGAGGTCATGTGGCCGGCATGACTGCATGGAGCGCCGTTACCTTCCCGCCGGAGCGGTACCTATTGATCTACTCACATTTGCATGTTTTCGAACTGCTAGGTTGGCAGAAGCTAGGGCTGACAGCGGATGCTCACGCCGCTCCCCGGAATCGAACCTGCGACCTTTCGATCAACAAGCTCAACAGCTCAGTGCTTTCCCCCACTGCGCCACCCCCACTCAGTGCCCCCACTGCGCCACCGGGGGCTCTAGTAATAGTAATAATAGTCTCTAGATGGGTCAAATTGCTTTTACCTGACCTGCCGTTCTCATTTCACATGTGTATAGTGGCAGCTCCCATGTTATGAACAAGATAGATTCTGTAGGTTTGCTCTTAAGTTGAATTTGTTTGTAAGTCAGAACAGGTAGATTTTAAAGTGTAACTCCAGCCAGCCAGCCAGCTAGCTATCGATCGATCGATCTACCTACTTACCTATCTATTTTTGGATACATAGGGGAGGGTTAAACCCCTGTGGTGTTTGTTTTGTTATCTGTTCAGAAGATTTCACTGCACTTTGTGATAACTAGATTTTGAAAAAATTGGCATGTTTGGATTGGTGATAAAGCTTCAGTGGAGACGCCTTTTCCCTTTCAGGAGTGAATTTCCCTTCCGAAGGGTAGATTTCTCTCACTTCCTGTTGTCTCACACCTGTTTGTAACTATGAGTCATTTGTAAGTCGGATGTCTGTAACTCAGGGACTGCCTGTAACACAGTTTTGAATGAAAAGCCAGTTTAAACACATTGAACCACTCTTTTTTTGCGTTATAGAAACCTAATTCTATTTTATCCATCATTTCTGCCTCTTGTACCAATTTTGTTGTTGTTCAAGAGGTAATGTCTAGGAACTCATCTAATTTGTTAACTAAGGTATTGTACACACAGCTTTAGGAAGTTGGATGTTACGCCATGAAGGTCATTTATCAGAGATGTAGGCACCCTCTAAATTTGATTCTCACCATTCTTGGGCAAGCCTTGGATGACACGGACGGCCTCTTCAAACTGCTTCTGGCAATCTGGCTCTTCTGCCTTCTTCCCCATTGGTACCTGTTTTGGGAAGATGATAAATGATGAAAACTGCAGGCTCAGCTTAAGAAGAAATACCAGATATTAAGTGAACTAACGCTCTTTATAGATGATCTCGGGACAAAGGTAAGAGAACTCTTCAAGTTGTCAACATTCATTCTCCTGCCCAGAGACTACCCTTGTTACAGCTATTATTTATTTATTTCAAACATTTGCAACCCGCCCTTCTCCGGGGGGGGGACGACTCAGGGCGGCTTACACCATTACATGCCATTACATATAAATAATACATACAGTAATTACATATAAAAACACAGTAAATTAATTTTAAAATTAGTTTTAAAATAAAAAGTACATTAATAAAAAGTGCAATACTACTGGCTGTCTAGCCTTCTGTAGATGCAAATTCAGCGAGCACAACACAATCGGAAGCCTGTCCATTGTCCATAACATTATCATCATTACCATTGTCAATTATCTGCCAGCTACCCAAAGGCCTGGTCCCATAACCAAGTTTTCAATTTCCTCCTGAAGGCGAGGAGGGATGTTGTTGATCTGATTTCACTGGGGAGTTCCACAGGCAGGGGCCACCACCGAGAAGGATCTGTCCCTCGTCCCTGCCAAGCGTGTTTGCGCCAAAAGCAAACCTCCCTGGAAGATCTTAAACTCCGAGGTGGGATGTAGAGGGAGATACATTCAGACAGGTAAGCTGGGCTGGAGCCGTATAGAGCTTTATAGGTCAAAACCAGCAGTTTGGATTGTGCTCGGAATTGGACTGGCAGCCAGTGGAGCTGACATAAAAGAGGGGTGGTATGCTCTCTGTATGACGCTCCAGTGAGTAGTCTAGCTGCCACCTGTTGGACTAGTTGAAGTTTCCAAGCAGTCTTCAAGAATCTATTTGGGATGTAACCAAAGTGTGGACTACCATGGCCAGATCTTACTTACTTACTTACTTACTTAGGTGATCCCTCGTTGACCGAGTAGGATAGTCCTCCAGGATCAGTATTCTGGTGCGTCCGTAGGTGGCTGTGGAGCCCTATTCTTGATCTGCATCTTCTCTCACAGTGAGGGCATTGGTTTCCAGGTGGAAGGCGGTCCCGGTCAGGGTTGGCTTGACGTGCCTTCCTTTTGGCACGTTTCTCTCTTCACCCTCCATTCGTACTTCTTCAAATTCTGCAGCACTGCTGGTCACAGCTGACCTCCAGCTGGAGGCTCAAGGGCCAGGGCTTCCCAGTTTCCAGTGTCTATGCCAGAGTTTTTAAGGTTGGCTTTGAGCCCATCTTTAAATCTCTTTTCCTGTCCTCCGATATTCTTGAGTTCGGAGTAGAGCAACTGCTTTGGGACACGGTGGTCAGGCTTCCGGACAACATGCGGATGTTATGGCGGAGGACCATCGCTTCAATGCTGGTGGTCTTTGCTTCTTCCAGCAGGCTTCCCAAGGTACGGGCGCAGCTAGCGCACAAGTTTCAATTGTGCAAAAGCTTTCCTGGACACCGCCAAGATCTGGGGTTCCAGGCGCAGCGCTGAGTCCAGGATCACTCCCAAGCTACATTCTTCTGCTGCGGTTAGTAAAACTTCTATTATTTGAACTACCAAAAAAGTGATAATGATGATGACTTGGAGTCCAAAGAATAACTTCCCCCAAATTCTGTACCTAAAACGGGATATCAAGAATCTTCTCAGTAGCATCTATCATTCCTAGTATTGAATCACCCGAGGACATAGCCAAGATCATTCAATGGCGAAAGTATTAAACTTAGGATGCATCTACACTGTATAATTAAGGCAGTCTGGCTCTACTTTAACTACTGTGTCTCAATGCTATGGAATCCTGAAAGTTGTAGTTTGGTGAGCCACCAGCACACTTAAGCAGAGAAGGCTAAAGACCTTGTAAAACTACAACTCCCAAGATTCCATAGCATTGAGCCATGGTAGTTTAAATTCTATAGTGTAGATGTATCCTTGGATGTGGAAAACCCAAAGCTATTCACTGTGCAATGTAAAGAAAATACAGAATAAAATGTAACCAAGTTAGAGAACAAAATTATTCTATTATTCTACTCAAGGAGTAATATTTTTACCTTGTATTTCCCTCCCAGAATAAACGATCCACTCACTTTGCTCTTTGCCCTGGCATCAGCTCTGCCAACCTCTTGTTTATTATTGTAGCTGGAAGCTATGTTCCGCCTTCGACCTTTTAAGATCAGCCCACATTGCCGGGACCAGGGTTAAGCGCGTCTTAGCCAATCAGCGCGCTGCTCTGCGTTCTACGCCTCGCAGCTCGGCCAATCGGCATTAAGCATCTCTTGGACTCACTCTCGATACTACACAGGAATTCTCTCTGTTTTTGTCTATCCGACTTTCAAAACAGCGCCACCTAGAGGGGAAAACCCACGAGAAGTTCGCCTCATAGTTGACATAGGTCGGCATACAGCAATGTTTATATAACAGCGACATCTTCAGGAGAGAATAAGAATGACAGCCTTTACTTTTGATATGCAGAATTTAATTTCCAAATCAGACTGGCAATGGCAGGACAATCTGTGCCAAGGTTCAGCCTCCCAGCCTTGAAGCCAGGATTTATTATTTGAAGTCCAAAGTGCCTCCAACCATAGGCAAAACCTTTCCAACACTCAATAACAAATATCCAGCTATGGAATCTGATCTGAGGTCAAAGTGATATTTTTTTCAGTTATCCAAATAGCTATTGATCTTGATTTATGCATACTCAAGAGTAAATCTGTTGGGATCAATAGGATAAATAAATCCTTGCTAACACAAGGGTGCATCTACACTGTAGGGTGAATGCAGTTTAACTGCGGTGGCATCATGAGAGTTATAGTTTTACAAAGTCCATAGCCTTCTCTTCCAAAGAGTGCTTTTGCCTCACCAAATTAGAAATCCCAGAGTTCCACGGCACTGAGGGCCCTTCCACACAGCCATATAACACAGAATATCAAGGCAGATAATCCACATCTGCTTTGAACTGGATTATCTGAGTCCACACTGCCATATAATCCAAATCAATGTGGATTTTGTACAACTGTGTGGAAGGGGCATGATTATCTGCTTTGAACCGAATTATACTAACTTACTTAGGCGATCCCTTGTAGCCTGAGGATGATGGACCTCCAAGTGTAATGTCTTGGCCATGGGTCCGTAGGTAGCTGTGGAGTCAGCTGTATTAAGATCACTACTGACCGAAAGGTCATGACTTCGAAGCCAGCCCAAGTCGGAGTGAGCTTCCAACCATTTGTGTAGCTTGCTGTTGACCTTTGCAGCCTGAAAGACAGTTGCATCTGTCAATTAGGAAATGTAGGTGCTGCTTATGCGGGGAGGCTAATTTAACTAATTTACAATGCCATAAAATCTTCAGCAAGCATGCAAAGAATGAGGAAGTACTCCATCAGTGTCACAAATTGAAGGTGAAGCGACAGCTCCCCTAGTGGCCAGAATACCCTCATGAATCTGGAATGTTAAATAGCCTCTGTGTGTGTGTGTATATATATATATATATGTTGTTTGCCATGTATATGTACATTGTAATCTAATCCCTGCGGGTTGAGAAAGGTGGAATATAAATACTGTAAATAAATAAATAATATTCTTGCTCAGTCATGGATACAACTGCTGGACTACACAACAGCCTTGGATCTTGAGGTAGAACGTCTGAGTCCATATCCACCACCCATGTGCCAGTCTGTGACTAGGGGCTTCCAGATTTCGCAGTCCTGCCCCGTCGCTACACACTGATCGCCAAGGGGCTTTTGTTGGTTTGTTTTTATTTTTCTTGGGATGTCTGTGCATGAGTTTTTTTAATGCGTGGAGGTCGGTGCACAGCCAATCAACACACAGTCTTCACAGAGTGAGTGTCCCAACTAATGGCATGGTTAACATGATGAAGGTAGCTTTTCAATCTATACTGGATTAAGGTATATGGCAGTGTGGACTTAGGTAATCCAGTTCAAAGCAGATAATGTGGATTATCTGCCTTGATATTCTGGATTATATGGCAGTGCAGACAGCAGTGGCTCCCAAAGTGACCCATTTAAGGTGGAATCAGGTGTCAAACAGGGATGTGTTATTGCCCCAACCTTATTTTCCATCTTCATCACTATGATACTTCATCTTGTTGATGGGAAGCTTCCCACCGGAGTGGAAATCATCTATCGGACAGATGGCAAGCTGTTTAACCTCAGCAGACTGAAAGCCAAAACCAAGGTTACAACAACATCTGTTATAGAACTCCAGTATGCTGATGACAACGTTGTCTGTGCACATTCAGAAGATCTACAAGCCACTCTAAACACCTTCGCAGAAGCATACGAGAAGCTCGGCCTGTCATTGAACATCGAGAAAACCAAAGTCCTCTTCCAGCAGACACCAGCCAATCCCTCTCCAGTGCCAGAGATACAGCTTAATGGTGTAACATTAGAAAATGTTGACCATTTCCACTACCTTGGCAGCCACCTCTCCACAAAAGTCAACATTGACACTGAAATACAACACCGCCTGAGCTCTGCGAGTGCAGCATTTTTCCGAATGAAGCAGAGAGTGTTTTAGGACCGGGACATCCGTAGGGATACCAAGGTGCTTGTTTATAAAGCTATTGTCGTCCCAACCTTGCTATACGCCTGTGAAACGTGGACAGTCTACAGACGTCACATGCATCTCCTGTAACGATTCCATCAGCGCTGCCTCCGGAAAATCCTGCAAATCTCTTGGGAAGACAGCGGGCAAACGTCAGCGTGCTGGAAGGAGCAAAGACCACTAGCACTGAAGTGATGGTCCTCCACCATCATCTCTGCTGGACCGGCCATGTTGTCCGGATGCCCGATCACCGTCTCCCAAAGCAGTTGCCTCTGAACTCAAGAATGGAAAACGGAATGTTGGTGGACAGGAAAAGAGATTTAAAGATGGGCTCAAAGCCAACCTTAAAAACTCTGGCATAGACACTGAGAACTGGGAAGCCCTGGCCCTTGAGCGCTCCAGCTGGAGGTCAGCTGTGACCAGCAGTGCTGCAGAATTTGAAGAGGCACGAATGGAGGGTGAAAGAGAGAAACATGCCAAGAGGAAGGCACGTCAAGCCAACCCCGACCGAGACCGCCTTCCACCTGGAAACAAATGCCCTCACTGCGGGAGAAGATGCAGATCAAGAATAGGGCTACACAGTCACCTACGGACTCACCAGAATACTGATCCTGGAAGACTATCCTACTCGGCCAACGAGGGATCACCTAAGTAAGTTCCATTTATTGCAGTGGGTCTGCACTGGATACATCCAGATTCATTTCATAGAATCCATAATTATATGTGACTTGTATTGTCGAAGGCTTTCATGGCTGGAATCACTAGGTTCTTGTGGTTTTTTTCGGGCTATAGGGCCATGTTCTAGAGGCATTTCTCCTGACGTTTCGCCTGCATCTATGGCAAGCATCCTCAGAGGTAGTGAGGTCTGTTGGAATAGGACAATGGGTTTATATATCTGTGGAATGGCCAGGGTGGGGCAAAGAGCTCTTCTCTGCTGGAGCTAGGTGTGAATGTTTCAACTGACCACCTCCATTAGCATTTGAAGGCCTGCTTTTGTTGAGAGGTGTTAAGATGTGGTTGTTTCCTCTCTGTTGTTTTGCTGTTGTAATTTTAGAGTTTTTTAATACTGGTAACCAGATTTTGTTCATTTTCATGGTCTCTTCCTTTCTGTTGAAATTGTCCACATGCTTGTGGATTTCAATGGCTTCTCTGTGTAGTCTGACATGGTGGTTGTTGGTGTGGTCCAGCATTTCTCTAAAATTACAACAGCAAAACAGCAGAGAGGAAACAACCAGGCAAATCTTAACACCTCTCAACAAAAGATTTTCCCAGGCTCAGGCAAGCCTTCAAATGCTAATGAAGGTGGTCAGTTGAAACATTCACACCTAGCTCTAGCAGAGAAGAGCTCTTTGCCCCACCCCAGCCATTCCACAGATATATAAACCCATTGTCCTATTTCCAACAGACCTCACTACCTCTGAGGATGCTTGCCATAGATGCAGGCGAAACGTCAGGAGAAATGCCTCTAGAACATGGCCCTATAGCCTGAAAAAACCCACAAGAAACTATATGTGACTTGTTATGTACAGGTGATGCGAACACCATTTGAAGAAAATGATGATGCTCTTAGGTGAGAGTTAATAATAAAATGTGTATTTTTCTCAAGATTAATAGTAAAATAAGGGCTCCTTCAGGTGTAGCAAATGTAATGGAAAGTTGTTGGAGACTGTGGCATTTAATGTTGTAGTATCTGAGAGGCTTTTTTAAAAAAAACTCAACCAGATAACATATTTTTTTTTTGTTTTGGACCATTTTCTGGCAATTGTTAGCAGCAGTTGCAAAATTTCTACATAATATGAGGCGGTTTTCTTTAACTTTTCAAGACATATCAGAACAACAGCCATTCTTATCATCTTCTCTCTCTTTATATAGATTTTCAAATATTTATAGTGCCCCAGTGCATCACTGAAACATCACCTATGCGCTACAACACAATCATTCTTATTTTTGTTTAAAGAAATGCACAGTGGAGAAAATTGGCCCTTCAAGCCATAAAACCATAGCAACAAGCGACTCTCTGGCTTAATAAAAGGGTTAGGAAAAGTTCTAATAGAAATCCCCTGCAAATAGATGTGGAAACAAGAAAAATCTGCCAAATCCAAGGAGGTGTATTATGAGAGTTTACTATTTCTTAGACCAGTCTATGAGGGACCTTAAATAAAACAAAAAAAGTCAAGCTCAACATTGGATTTTAATCCAAACAAGCAGACATTCCTGACAATTGGTTAGGTTCAAATATCATTGGTGCATAGAAAAAGGCAATAGTCTCAGTAAGGCTGGTCATATGGTCTGAAAATCATGCCCTATGAAGAGTGTCTTAAAGAACTGGGTATGCTTAGCCTGCAGAAGAGAAGATTGAGAGCAGACATAATAGCCATGCATAAAAATGTGAAAGGGTGTCATAAGGAAGAGGAAGCAGACTTGTTTTCTGCTGCCCTTGAAACTAGGACTAGGAGCAATGGGTTCAAATTACAGGAAAGGAAATTCCACTTGAACATTAGGAAGAACTTCATGACCATACGAGCTGTTCAACAGTGGAACTCTCTGCCTCAGTGTGGTGGAAATTCCTTCCTTGGAAGCTTTTAAACAGAGGCTGGATGGCCATCTGTCAGGAGTACTTTAAT